ACGGGGTTTCACCATGTTGACCAGGATGGTCTCGATCTCTTGACCTTGTGATCCACCCGCCTCGGCCTCCCAAAGTGCTGGGATTACAGGCTTGAGCCACCGCACCCGGCCAATGAGCTCATATTTTTTTAAAAACCTAGAGGTCTAAGTTGAGGATGCCTTCTTCAGAGATGATTGCATTTGTTTCCTTTGGGATCCAGATGGTGCTCCTACCTGGGACCACTTTGGCCACTTCCGAGCTCCCCTGGCTGATTTTCTAGTCCCTGGTCCAGCTCAGCCCCATTGCCACTAGTCCAAGGCTTTGTCTGCTGGTTGAAATGCTGAAATGGGATTTGCCTTTGGATCACCTTTGCCTTTCAGGTATGTTCACTGCTCTGCTCAGGTATTAGGTACCTTTCAGAAGGGGTTAGGAGTGCTTGGAGAATTTTTATTCTTCCTATCGTGAAATGTGATCAAAAAAATATGTTTTCTGCATGCTCTACTTGTTTTGAAACAGAAAAGCTCTTCATTCAGAATAAATGCCATTTGTCCTCTGTTTTCTCCCTCTTTCCTTCCTTCCTTTCTCTTTATCTTTCTTTTGGGAAACCTACCTTTCCTCATTCTGAAATAGCATTTTTCTGAGGGATCTCCTACTATTTCCCTGACTTTTCTTTTTTCAGTCTGTCTCTCCCTCACCCCTACTCTTCCTTTCTCAACTCTTTAGAAGACAGAGTTTTCCAGAATCCCATCCCTTTTTTCTTCTTACAGTTTATTTCATCTATAGCTATGATTTCATCCACAGTATCCTAACAAATCTGTATTTCTAGCTCTAAAAGAACCCTAAGTTGGCCAGGAGCGGTAGCTCATGCCTGTAATCCCAGCACTTTGGGAGGCTGAGGCGGGCAGATCACTTGAGGTTGGGAGTTCGAGACCCGCCTGACCAACATGGAGAAAACTCGTCTCTACTAAAAATACAAAGTTACTCAGGTGTGGTGGTGCATGCCTGTAATCCCAGCTACTTGGGAGGCTGAGGCAGGAGAATCACTTGAACCTGGGAAGTGGAGGTTGTGGTGAGCCAAGACTGCACCATTGCACTCCAGCCTGGGCAACAAGAGTGAAATTCCATCTGAAAGAACAAACAAACAAACAACAGCAACAACAAACCCTAAGTTACAAATCTATATTTCAAACTTCCTTCTTGGAATCTCCATTAGGATTTTCCTCAATTCAAAACTTTCACCACTGGGCTTGTTATCTCTCATATCCTCCATCCCTAAATCAACTCTTCTTCCATTATTTTCCAACTTGGTCATGGATACCACTATCCGCCACTCATCTAAGTCTGATGGTCCTGCGAATTTTAACTCCTAAACATCCCTTGAATTCTTTCTTTCTCTGTCTTATTTCCATCATCACTGCTAGAGCTGGATCCTTATCATTTCTTCCCAATCAATTGCAATCAACTCCTGATCTTTCTCTTGCCTCCAGACTCGCAGGTCAAATCCACCCTACCCACTGCTGCTCTTGTGATTTTTCTAATGCAAATGTGAACATGTCACTCTCCTGTGGGAAATTCTTCATTGGTCTCCCTCATTGACACGTGTTAAGGCTTAGGGTGCATAACTGGGTATATAAAGCCTTTATGACCTACCTAACTTATGCTTACTTTGCCTGCCTACTTCACTTATTTATTGGAGAGCAATGAATCATTTATTTATTATTATTACTATTTTAAGACAGAGTCTTGCTCAGTCACCTAGGCTGGAGTGCAGTGGCACGATCTCGGCTCACTGCAACCTCTGCCTCCTGGGTTCAAGTGATTCTCCTGCCTCAGCCTCCCAAGTAGCTAGGATTACAGGCATGTGCCAACACTCAGCTGTTTTTTGTATTTTTTGTAGAAAAAGGGTTTCGCCATGTTTGCCAGGCTGGTCTCGAACTCCTGACCTCAGGTGATCCACCTGCCATGGCCTCCCAAAGCGCTGAGATTACAGGCATGAGCCACCACGGCCGGCCTGTTTTTCAAATTTTTATTTCTATAGCTCTTGGGGTACAAGCGTTTTTTTGTTACATAGACGAAATATATGGTGGTGAATTCTGAGATTTTAGCGCACCCATCATCCGAGTAATGTACATTGTACCTAATGCATAGTTTTTTATCCCTAGCCCCTCTCCCATCCTCCCCTTTCTAAGTCTCCGAAGTCCATTATTTCACTCTGTATGCCTTTGCACACTCATAGCTTAGCTTCCGCTTATAGGTGAGAACTTACAGTTTTTGGTTTTCCACTCTTGTATTACTTCGCATAGAATAATGGCCTCCTGCTTTTTCAAGTTGTTGCAAAAGATAATATTTCATTCTTTTTTTGTGGCTGAGTAGTATCCCATGCTGTATATATACCACATTTTCTTTATCCGCTCATTAGTCACTGGGCACTTAGGTTGATTCACACCTTTGCAATTGTGAAGGGTGCTGCCATAAACATACGCGTGAAGGCCTACTTCACTTTAAGCGGTGAGGGCCACAAGCATGTCTGTCTTGTCTATCTTGGCACTATTCTCGGTCCCAAGCCCACAGCCTGACACCTAATAATTACTAACTGGACGCACCACTGCTTTGTCGCTCGTTTCTGTTTCATAGACCCTTTTTGCCAACCAATCTGAACTTTTTGCAGTAACACAAGTGTGCCCTCTTCTCTAAATTCTAGACGAGTTGCAATTTATCCATTTATTTTTTGAAATTACCACTATCTAAACCTGTGACCGATACTAGGCTCTGAATGAATAAATGGAAGTAAACTTAGAAGTGCAGCCCAAGAGACAATAAATACCCGAGGAATTGACCAATATGAGGAACTGTATACAAGAACAGTTTTTCCCCAGGCGTAAGTGCAAGTATGAGGCAAACAGACGTCCTCTTGCCCTGTCTGGTCTGGGAACCATATTTAATTAATCAGGACTTTGCAGAGTGAATCAGAACAAAACGAAAACAAAACAAAGGGCAAACAAGCCAACTTCTGAGAAAGCACTGACTGAAAAGGTCATCAACTCCCCTACACCCCAAGTCTAAACGGGACACTCGCAGCTTAGCGGAGCCCCGCTCCCTGAAGCCCCGCCCCTGGGAAAGCGGGGCCTGCGGGATTGGCGGGGCTTTCCCGCGAGGCCACGCCCTCTCTGGGCGGGCCGTAAACCTGCCTGCTGCCCCCGCCGTTTCCTAGGAGATGAAACACACAAGACGCCGGAGCTTTCACAAGGGAGTGAACGAGGTAAGCGGCCGGCGCGGGCAGGTAATCCCGAGCGGGCTGCGGGGCCGCCACCCTCCGTCCGACCCAGCCCGAGCCCGACCTGTCAGGCTGGCCGGGCATGTCCCCTCGGCGCCCTGTGCGACCAGGGCCAATCTCCGCCGGGAGACGGGTCCCGGACGCGGGTAAGGGAAGAACTGGAAGGAGGAGGGTCCCCCGGAGGGGCGGAGCAGGCGCGAAGGGTCCGCCCGAGGGAAGACTGTCTGTGTCTCCCAGGCCTCCTGACCACTCTCCCCACTCCTGGGCCGCGGGGGCCGGCCAGGTGTGGGAGGATGACGGCGGGGCGTCCCTCAGCCTGAGAGATCCCCGCCCCGAACCTCTCCCCCGGGGTCTCCTACCTCTGCGCCCTCCTCGTCTCCCCTGCTGCGTGGGCTGGCGGTGAAAACTGCTTATAGGACAGAGGCAAGATTGGGTCTCTGGGAGGCAGCGGAACTGTGTTCAGAACTGTTGCAAAATCTAAAACTAGGAAGAAAAACAGGAACTAGGTCCGATTCCAGCCCTCGCTGGTGCATCCCAAAGGATGATGGTGAAAGTGGAATCACGCCCAACTGCGTCCCATCCACGGCGCCGCCGGACTCCCGGGGCCCAGGGACGCCCCCACTCCTTCCAGCACCCGGCCCCCGGAGCCTTTTAAGGGCCCTGGTTTGCAAAGTAGAACCAGAAAGCGTGTGACGAAAACGGCCCCTTTTCTGCAAATAATGCGTTTTAATTTAGAGACAGGTCAAGAGTGCGACGTCGAGAGCAGTGAAACTGGTTTTAAGGTCGGGCGCGATGGCTCACGCCTGTAATCCCAGCACTTTGGGAGGCCGAGGCGGGCGGATCACGAGGTCAGGAGATCGAGACCATCCTGGAAACCCCATCTCTAGTAAAAATGCAAAAAAAATAAAAATTAAAAAAAAAAAAAATAACTGGGCGTCGTGGCGCCCACCTGTAGTCGCAGCTACTGGGGAGGCTGAGGCAGGAGACTTGCTTGAACCCGGGAGGCGAAGATTGCAGTGAGCTGAGATCGAGCCTCTGCACTGCAGCCTGGTCGACAGTGCGAGACTCTATCTCAAAACAAACAAAACTGGTTTTTAGTGGTGAGTGATCGCAATTCTACAAGGAAAGAGCTGTATGAATTGTGCTTAGATAATCGTTTCAAAGAAACAGACATTTGTTCTAATGATAATGGAATTCTCAAAGAGGGAACCAAAAGTTATCGGTCTTAATTTATTGAGCAGAACAACCCATTGAGTGAAATAATGATGGAGACCAAAGTGACTTCCCAGCCTTTCGGTCGGGCGACCACCTCGCCGACCCTCCAATACCGGGAGAGAGAAACTTCCCCCAACCGTGCAACCGACTGCTTCCACAGCAGGCACCGAGCGCGACATTTAATCTCTTCGTCGGGGTGGACTTTGTTGATTTGTGTGTTAGCTTTGAAATAATTTGTGAATATCAGCACAGATAACTGTGCTCTTAATGTTTTAAGATAGAATCTTTGCTTTCCCGTTGTAATAGTTCCTCATTTAACTTCTGTAAACCTTTGACTTGGTTAGTTTGGGATCTTTTTCATGTGTTGCTTTTTAAAGAATTTAGTGACTTTTAAAAGGTTAATTATTGCAAGCGTTAATGCCAGCCTCGGAGTGACGTAATTATAGTATGTTCTAGAAAGCCAAGTTGAAGACATCCAAGCTTTATCTGTTCAGTGATTGGCAGACATGAGTTTTACCCTTCATTTGCCCTCTATTTTAATCTTCTTTAATCCTATCTAAATCTCTTAATAGCTGGCAGAAGCTGTTGAGAATAAAGCCCAGATTTACAACAGTTGTGCACTTAAACAGTAATTATGAACTTAGACTAAAAAGTTGAAAACTAGAATGAGAGATAAATTATAAGGGTATTTGTTTTTGTGTATGTCTATAATTAAGCCTCTAAATAAGTGTCTTTTTCTCTAACCATAGGAAAGTCAATAAATATAGCTTGATTGTGGAAAATTCCAAGTTTCTAACAATTCTATTAAATTAATTGAGGATGACAGTTATATTTACTTGGGTTTTGCTTTGTTGCATGTATATCATATATATATATATATTCATGTACATAAGAAACTGTGTTAATATATCCCTATTTTGTAGAATTAGTTTTCTATAGGTCAACAGAGAAGCATATATGTAACTTATAGAGAAATATTATTGAGTGTGAACTGGAGAACCATGGGAAGTCTGTTTAAGGAACATAGCTTTTTGATTGGTAATCCGTAGTTGCTTATGTGCTGTCAGTTAGTAGGTACCTGGAAATAATGATATTTTAAAAGCTTTACCTTTTTATCTATGTCTCTACATGAGACCATTGTCCCTGTATGTTCAGGGGACAGAAGGAACAGTTGTAATAGATCAGCTTCTCACCCTGGGGAGCTGTTGATTTTGTAATTAATATAGTTCAAAAGAAGCCTTTCCAAAATTTTTTCTTAGGGAGCACAGTATGTAAACTTCTTTTACTTAAAGGTTAGGTAGGACTTAAATGAGACAGATCCTCACAGAGCCACTAATCTGACCTTTTAAAAATGTGTGTCATGGCCATAATCCTCACCACTCCACCCCTTAAACAGAAAGGAGCTGGGGAATGGTCGGGTTCCTTGCTTATTCTTCCCTCGATATAAGTATACCCAATCCTATAGCCATCATCAGTTGAAAGACAATTGGTGCTGCTGGTGTTTATTCAGAAGTTGATTGGTTAGGCCTGGAATGAAGTTGCCACAATAGACACTCTCAAAGTGGCTGGGTGTGCAGGCCAGGGCCGAAAGTCTTCAATGACTGGATGTTCTGTTGTGCTGATCGCGCTGGTGCAGCTTCCGGTCGCCCTCCAACCCCAGGGCCACGGTGATGGGGGTGGCTGATGGCCTTAATAGTGGGAGAGAGAGGAGTAATTAATCCTATTTTTTTCAGGTTGTTGAGCCAATGAAGGTAAATTTTTTGGCACTCTGTTTCCACTTCCTGAATAACATTCGCTGCTATCATTGCCACGTTACTAGAGGTGCTGCATTAGGAATCTTAAGGTAGAGGTTAGGGTACGTGGCTTGAGTTGTGTTTAGACTGCATGATTTTGGATCAAAGAGGATGTTTCCTTTAGCCTCATTAGGGATAGTAAGAACCAGCACCAGTTCATAAGAAGGAGACAAGGACAGGCCCGGTGGCTCACGCCTGTAATCCCAGTGTGATTGGGAGGCTGAGGCAGGAGGATCACTTGGGGTCAGGAGTTCAAGATCAGCCTGGCCTACATGGTGAAACCCTGTCTCTACTAAAAATACAAAAGTTAGCCGGATGTGGTGGCGCATGCCTGTAGTCCCAGAAAGCCTGTCCTGGGAAATCTTAGGTACTTTGACAACTACCACATGTCCTTGTTGGTCTTAAATTTCTGCATATAATAGAGAAGCAATTTCTATGATTTAAATGAAAGTGCTACAGTGAGAGAAAAATAACTCTTTGATTGAAGTACTACATTGTAAAGGCACTTTAAAACAAACTACAGACATGCTTCGGAGATACTGTGGTTTTAGCTCCAGACTACGGCAATAAATTGAATATTACAATAAAGCAAGTCACGCATGTTTTTTGGTTTCAAAATACATATACAAATTATGTTTACTTTATTCTGTAGTATGTTTAGTGTGCAGTAGCATTTTCTCTAGAACAATAATGTACATACCTTAATTTAAAAATATCTTATTGCTGCCAGGTGCAGTGGCTCACGCCTGTAATCCCAGAACTTTGGGAAGTGGAGGCGGGGGGGATCACTTGAGGTCAGGAGTTCGAGACCAGCCTAGCCAACATGGTGAAACCCAGTGTCTACTAAAAATACAAAAAAATAGCTAGGCATGATGGCTCACACCTGTAGTCCCAGCTACTTCAATGCAGGAAAATTGCTTGAACTTGGCAGGCAGCAGTTGTAGTGAGCTGACATGGCGCCACTGCACTCTAGCCTGGGTGACAGAGCAAGACTCTGTCTCAAAAATAAATAAATAAAATGTTATTGCTAAAAAATGCTGATGATCTGGGCCATCAGTGAGTCACAATCGCTTTGCTGGTGGAGGGTTTTACTTCTGTGTTGATGGCTGCTGGCCCATCAGGGTGGTGGCTGCTGAAGGCTGGGATGGCTGAGACCATTTCTCAGAATAAGACAACAATGACATTTGCTCCATTGCTTGACTCTTCCTTTCGTAAAAGATTTCTCTATAATATGTGAGACTGCTTGATAGCATTTTTACCTACAACAGCACTTCTTTCAAAATTGGATTCAGTCTCCTCAAATCCTGCCACTGCTGTCAACTCAGTTTATGTAATATTCTAAATCCTTCGTTGTGGGCACTGGCTCACACCTGTAATCCCAGCACTTTGGGAGGCTGAGGTGGGTGGATCACTTGAGGCCAGGAGTTCAAGACCAGCTTGGCCAACGTGGCAAAACCCCATCTCTACTAAAAATATAAAAATTAGCCAGGTGTGGTGGTGCACACCTGTAATCCCAGCTACTGGGGGGTAAGGGAATGATGGTGACAGGGGCAGGGGCTGAGGGACAAGAATCACTTGAACCTGGGACACAGAGGTTGCAGTGAGCCAAGATTGAGTCACTACACTCCATCTTGGGTGACAGAGTGAGACTCTGTCTCAAAAAAATAACTTTGTTGTTTTTTCAGCAATGTTAATAGCATCTCTACCAGGAGTTGATTTCATTTCAATAAAACATTTTCTTTGTTCATCTATGAACAATTTCTCATTCATTCAAGTTTGATTATGAGATTACAGCATTTCAGTCACATCTTCAGGCTCTATTTCTCTTTTTTATTTTAAAAATTAAAAAAAAAAAATTTCTTTAGAGACAGAGTCTTACTCTGTCACCCAGGATGGAGTTTAGTGGTATGATCATAGCTCACTGTAACTTTGAATTCCTGGGGTCAAGCAATCCTTGTGCCTCACCCTCCCAAGTAGCTGGGACTACAAGCATGCCATCAAGCCCAGCTAATTTTTTAGTTTTTTAAAGAAGGGTGTGATACGGTTCCCAGGCTGGTCTCGAACTCCTGGTCTCAACAATCCTCCTGCCTTGGCCTCCCAAGTCACTGAGATTACAGAAGTCAGCCACCACGCCCGGCTATGTTTCTTATTTCTTTGTGTGAATCTAGTGTGACACTAAATCCTTAAATTTTTCTTAGTTTTATGTAAAATAAAATAGCATGTTTTATTTAAATAGAATATGAAATTTTAAAATAATGCTATTTCTTTCATATGAATTAAAAGTTTGCTTTATATTTACCTTACCCAATTGGAGTACTTATATTTCACAGAAAATTAACAAGCAGTACAGTTTTCAACTTAATATGCCAAATTAAATATGATACAAAAACTGATTCAAAGAAGGGATATAATATAGATGTCGATTTTCTGAAGTCTGATTTGTAATAATATAGATTATATCGAGTAAAAAAGGAATAACACAAGCCATTATGCCATTATTGAACATAAATAGCACAGTACCATGTAAATGAGGCATTTACCAAGTGAGTATTAATCAGTGAACTTCATTTCACATAGCACAAATGACTTACTGACAAATATCTAACACACTAGTATTTATATTATTTATAATTTTCCCCTGTGCCCTAAGTTGTCAGTACAATTTTGGGAGAGACTTGTTAATGAAAATTCACATCCCTGTTTTCTTTTTTAGGGTGTTCATAAGAATGGAAGCGCTGTTTCCTTGCCAGATTCCTTCATGCTATAGCTTGTGAACCTACATAATCTTGAGGAAGAGCCTATATTTAATGATGACACACATGTCACCAGCATAGCAACAACAGTGTGAGGAAAAAAACAAAAATTAAGAAGGATTCAGATTTATATTCAACGAGGCAACCATTTCAATCAACAACTTCTGCTGCGTTATTTTTCCAAGATGAACCGATACACAACTATGAGACAGTTGGGGGACGGCACGTATGGGAGTGTGCTTATGGGCAAGAGTAACGAGTCTGGGGAGCTGGTAGCCATCAAAAGGTACTGAGTGACATTGCCAAGTTCATCTTTGAAAACTCTGCTGTTTATTTTCCTGTCCTTGCCAAAGAATATATACAGGCACTGGCCGGGCGCGGTGGTGGCTCACGCCTGTTATCTCAGCACTTTGGGTGGCTGAGGTGGGCAGATCACTTGAGGTCAGGAGTTTGAGACCAGCCTGGCCAACAGGGTGAAACTCCATGTCTACTAAAAATACAAAAATTAGCTGGACATGGGGGTGCATGCCTGTAATCCCAGAAGGCTGAGGCATGAGAATCTCTTGAACCTGGGAGGTGGAGGTTGCAGTGAGCCAAGATCACACCATTGCACTCCAGTCTGGGCGACAAGAGTGAAACTCCATCTCAAAAAAAAATGAAGAATATATACAAGCATAGGCTGGGTGCGGTGGCTTACACTTGTAATCCCAGCACTTTAGATTGAGGTCAGGAGTTAAAGACCAGCCTGGCCAACATGGTGAAACCCTGTCTCTACTAAAAATACAAAAATTAGCCAGCCATGGTGGCACACACCTATAATCTCAGCTATTTGAGAGGCTGAGGCACAAGAATCTCTTGAACACAGGAAGCTGTGAAGCCACGAAAGAGTTTGCATATCTTTTTTTTTTTTTTTTTTTTTTGAGACAGAGTTTCATTCTTGTCACCCAGGCTGGAGTGCAGTGGTGTGATCTCAGCTCACTGCAACCTCCGCCTCCCAGGTTCAAGTGATTCTCCTGCCTCAGCCTCCTAAATAGTTGGGATTACAAGCATGTGATACCACACCTGGCTAATTTTTGTATTTTTATTAGAGACGGGGTTTCACCATGTTGGTCAGGTTGGTCTCAAACTCCTGACCTCATGATCTGCCCACCTCGGCCTCCCAAAGTGCTGGGATTACAGCCGGGAGCCACCGCGCCCTGCCGAGTTTGTGTATCTTGAGGACTAGAAGGTCTTGAAGGATTTTAAGCAGCATTGTTGATGTGATCAAATTTTTGGAACTGGCTCATTAGCAGAAGAGTGGGGACTGGATAGAAGAGGTCAAGAGTAGCCGGGCGCGGTGGCTCACGCCTGTAATCCCAGCACTTTGGGAGGCCGAGGCGGGTGGATCACGGGGTCAAGAGATCGAGACCATCCTGGTCAACATGGTGAAACCCCGTCTCTACTAAAACTACAAAAAATTAGCTGGGCATGGTGGCACGTGCCTGTAATCCCAGCTACTCAGGAGGCTGAGGCAGGAGAATTGCCTGAACCCAGGAGGCAGAGGTTGCGGTGAGCCGAGATCGCGCCATTGCACTCCAGCCTGGGTAACAAGAGCGAAACTCCGTCTCAAAAAAAAAAGAAGAGGTCAAGAGTGGACACAGGGTGGCCAGGTAGAAGGTCAGCGCAGTCATCTTGGTTAGAAGTGGTGCCTGACAATAAAGTAGCTCTGGGGATGGATATAACTGGATACAGTCGAGGGACACTTAGGGAGCAGGCTCTATAGGAACTGGTGACTGGGCATGAGGATGGAGGGAGGAGTAAAAAATGGGGAAGAGTCCAGGCTAACTCCTGGGATTCTGGCTTAAATGTATAGAGATGGTGCTATGTACCATGTCAAGGAGGGGACAATCACAGGCCTAGGGGTAAAGTTGAATTCTGTCTGGGGCATAATGACTTCAAGATGACTTTTAGTCAATGGAATATTTGCATTTAAATCTCAAGGCTGAGTGCAGTGGCTCACGCCTGCAATCCCAGCACTTTGGGAGGCCGAGGTGGACGGATCAGCTGAGGTCAGAAATTTGAGACCAACCTGACCAACATGGAGAAATCCTGTCTCTACTGAAAAATACAAAATTAGCCGGGTGTGGTGGTGCACACCTGTAATCCCAGCTACTCGGTAGGCTGAGACAGGAGAATTGCTTGAGCCCGAGAGGCGGAGGTTGTGTAAGTCGAGATCGCGCCATTGCACTCCAGACTGGGCAACAAGAGCAAGACTCCATCTCAAAAAAAAAAAAAAAAAAAAAATCTCATAACAGAGGTGCAAGCTAATGATTTGGAATGATTAGTCTACTAGTCTACATATGCTGATTGAAACTCTTTAGAGGGAGAAGAAACGAGGTCTTCATTTAGAGCGCTGAGAAACCATGGCATATAAAGTAAGCGTCCTGGAATAGCATCTTACAGAAAAGACTGAGGAGCCACCAGAGAAATAGTGGAGAAACCAGGAGAATGTAGAAAGTATCTGAAACCAAGGGAAAGATCGAAAGAAGCAGAAGTAGGTATCAAGAAGTCTGGAGGGTGATGATTCCAGAGCTCTTTCAATGGCTCATCGCTGTACCCAAGAAATTCAGATGTTTTGTATGATTTTCATGCTGAGCAGTTAACATTGTTTTTGTCCTTAAATGTGTCACCTAATGACCACCTTATGGCTACTGCACCTCCAGGCATTACATCCCTGTTCAAGGAGGGGAGAAAGGAGAATAATACCAGCTAACTCTTCTCCATCTTTTATCAGGAAGTAGTAATTCTTTCCCGGGAGTCCCCAAGGACATCCCCTTTCGTCTTACCAGCTAGCACTGGGTCACGTGGTCTCTCTTCCAAAGGAAACTGAGAGAATGTTTACTCTTCCAACCTCTATATTAGGAGGCAGAAGGAAAGGGCTGGAAATGGCCTTACAATATTTCAACAATATCATCTGCTGTGGTGTACCTTGGGTTTGGGGAATATGACATAACTGGCGGCTGTGGTGAGCATCGTTCCAGTGGAATAGTAGAAGTAAGTCAGACCACGGTGGGACAAGGAGTAGCGGGAAGTGGGCAGTGGAGGCATGGAGCTTTGGAGAGTTTGAAAGATGAGTTACTGAGTTGCTAAGAAAGCCACAAAAGGGTTGCCCAGTGTCAGGAAGAGTCCGCCTGAAATTACACGGGATGGATGTGAAAGTGGAGCCACTGGGAGCATTTTCATGACTCTTCTTTCCACCTCCACCCATCTGTATGGAGACTGGAGGATGACAAGGCAGGAGCGGTGGAACGGTGGGAGAAGGGGATGTTCAGAGCGTCTGTGTGATCTGGAGAGTGTAGTGGGTGAAAGGCTGATGGTGGGGCCAAGCTGGGTGAGGAGGCAAGCCACGCCACTTGGGTGATTGTAGGAAGAGCCACAAGTTGAACAAGAAAGGTTGTATGAAGAAGTTTTGAGGGTAATGATGGTGAAAAGGATAAGAGGTTATGCTCAGAGTCTGAAGTGGTAAAGGTTGAGGTCTTGGACAGTAGAAGTCCTCATCACAGGGAGTTTATGAGTGATCGTGGTAGGACAGAGGTGAACATCTCTTAGGAGTGAAGGAATTGTGAAACCAGGCTACTGTCAGATTATCAGTTTAACCTACACTGAGTATTCACTATAGCCGTTATTCCTCATGTCTGAACAAGCAGGCTTTGCCATCTCCTTCAAGCCTAATGGAGAAGGATAAACTTTACATGGAAATTACAAATATCAGAGTCCTCATTCTCCATTCTCATTGTTTTGTTTGTTTGTTACCAAAACCATTCACATCCCATAATATCCAATCAATCTTTTGCTTGGTGATATAAAATTTTAGGCATTTCCAATTTAGGCCATAAATATTCTAGGTGCAACTTGTTAGGTAACACTTTAAGATCCATTGATACTTTTCCCCTAAAATGAAAAATAAATTCCGGGCTGGGTATGGTGGCTGATGCCTGTAATCTGAGCACTTTGGAAGGCCAGTGCAGGCAGATCACCTGAGGTCAGGAGTTCGAGACCAGCCTGGCCAACATGGCGAAACCCCGTCTCTACTAAAAATACAAAAGTTAGCCAGGTGTGGTGGCAGGCGCCTGTAATCCCAGCTATTTGGGAGGCTGAGGCAAGAGAATCACTTGAACTGGGGAAGCAAAGGTTACAGAGCTGAGATCATGCCATTGCACTCCAGCCTGGGTGACAAGAGCGAGACTCCATCTCAAAAATAAAATAAAATTCTGAAATTATATTTCAAACATCATAGCAGGCTAGGTGTGGCTGTAATCCCAGGATCACCTGAGCCCAAGAGGTCAAGACTACAGTGAGCCATGATCGCACCATTGCACTCCAGTCTGAGTGACAGAATGAGACCATGTCTCAAAACAAAAAAAAAAGAAAAAATCATAGCAGATTATATGTGCAATTTCACATGTATATGATCATTTTATTAATCAACTTTTTTATAGCTATACTTGAATTGACTTCTGTTTTATTTTAAATTCATCATTGTGCTAGATTTACATTTTACATTTTAGCAAGACATTTTACAAATCTATAGCACTGAAAAGTATCTTTTAATAAGCTAGTGATCCCCATTTCATCACACTTCTTCATACATTTCTAGTACCTGAATAACTGCAAATGAAATTCTGATTCACTAAGGATATTTTGGAAATAATAGCAGTGATGCCCTTTACATTATCTTACAGTCAGTCATAGATATTGGTAAAAATGAAAACATCTGGTAGTTAGTGAGTACTGAACTCAGCAGTTTGCAAGAAGCTTTTTAATGCAGCAGTTTCTACTGTATGTCTAGCTAACGAATTTGAGGCATAGACAAATCATTAGGTAACTTGTCCAAAGTCATGCCGTGAGTGACGGGGCAAGGATTTGAATCCAGGCAGTGCGGTTCCACAGCCTCTGTTCCTGGCTGTGATGTTGTGCTGCCAATTTTTCCTCGTTGCCTCATTTGTGTGTTATACCCCCTGGAGCTTCTGGATCATAAGGCTTATTCTAATTCATAAAGACAACTCTAAGCTTCCCAAGGATCTTCTGGAACATCTCAGTAGGAGATTATAATACTAAATGAAAGCAGTATGGCATATTTGGTTCTTTTTCACAGTCCAGCCTTATAATTTCCATACCTGAAGAAACATTTTTTAGCATATGAATCCTGCTTTTTATCCTGTTTTGTATGGTGACTAAAAATCTGTTCCTATAAAAACACATGTTCATATAAAAACACACCAAGTAACTATGGTGTATATAGTGGAAGTATTTTTTACCCTAAATACACTTTTGGTACATTTACCTCTAATAGAAACCAATACTGGGATAAAAGAGGGGAAGTAAATAAAGAACAAAATTCAAGAAAGCCATTTCTAACGTTTATAGTTACTTCTGATTTTTTGCCGACTTAAATCATTTAAGTAGGGAGATTTTTAACTTATGGGCCTCTCGTGTAAAGCTGATGTCATGATATGCAAGTTATCAGATCAAATTATTTGACTAAATTTGCTCAAAATTTGTGATTTCTTTCCCTAACCCCCTCTGAGGTATAGTGTTTCATGTTTACCTCTTAAGTTCTAAAATGAGAGGAACTTGGAAGGGACCCTTTAAGAAAGGCACAGTTAAACTTATTAGAGAAGTGTTAAGAACTCACCCAGAAAGGAAGATGAATGGTAATTTTGTCATTTTTGTGTTAAAGCTGAATTGTGGATGTGATGTAGTCCTACCAACTAGCCTTGAGATAAACAGGAGGAAGTGATTTCCTTGTAAGGATGAGGAAAGAGATAGCTCGCCCAAAGTGAACCAATACTAGTAAGAAAGCCAACAGTGTAATCTGTGTCTTTGAATCCTCAATCCCTGAACACTAAACTTTCCTTTATTTATTTTAGGATGAAGAGAAAGTTCTATTCTTGGGATGAATGTATGAACTTGAGAGAAGTTAAGGTAAAATCCTAAAGATGAAAAGAACCTGAGAAGGGGCTTTAACTCTATCTGAGGCCTGAGGACAGTAGTTAAGATTGTTTTATTCTCTATGGGAAGCATTCTGAGGATAATTATATTTGTTTTTCATTTATATTCTAAGTGAATTTCTCATTTCTTCTGGTTCTGATGTCAGTATAGAATAGCATATGATTATATTCTCACATTTTAAAGTTCACTGTCACTTTTTTTTTTTTTTTTT